GTAGTAGTAGTAGTGTAGTGTGTGTGTGTGTGTGTGTGTGTTGTTTTATTATATATATATATATATATATATATATATATATTGAAGCCTGGTTTCCAGAATACCTCACGACTATTCAACTTGACAAAAGGATGTAAAACTAAGCCCAGGCAGATAATTATATACTTTTTAAGCACATAAAATCTCACTGCAATTCCTCTTTGAGTGATGACAGGTTCATAATGTGTTGTATAACACCATCATCTGTGGAATAAAGGTGCTATATCATGTGGAGAATATAGTATCCCCGAAAATTCTTGCAGCAGCTGTTTACAGTGCAATGCCTGGCAAAAATTGTAAACCAACGAAGAATGGCCCACATCATAATGGGACCAAACATTCAGGGTGTACGTTTTCTTGGAAGCTCTTCACAGAAACACGTTCATTTGGCACCCTTTTATTCTTACCTGTATTTGTTAAAAGCTACACAAATGACATCTTGTTCTACTTCTTCAAGCATAGAATAATTATACTTTGTTCACATTTACTAATATCCTAATTACACTGTTAGTAACACAAAATAGCAAACATCTATTGAACATTAAGTATATACATTAAGTACACATATCTCTTCAAAAGATTTATTAATATAATTATGAAATAAATCATATGCATCTGAAATCACCCATTCACTTGCTTAGAACTATGTTCTTACTACAAACCCACAAGGTTTTTCTCATTAATTTCAATTTATATACTGAAAGGAGGTATTTATCAAAGGGAGTGGTTTTTCTTTCCAATCCTCTCAGATTTATATTAACAATGATCATAGCCTAGCTAGCCTGAATCACTATATTGGACATTTACTTCAAGAACCTAACATACACAGTACATAAACATTCATTTTCTTGACACTGTCAGTAGTTACTTTACAAGGTAGTATATGTGAGTGGATAGTTTATTAAACTTGTGTAACAGTACAGTGTTAAAATCTTGCAAAACAAAGTAAAAAAAAATGTTAAAAAATCAGGAGTAACAACTTCATGTTTGGCACAAGCTAAATACCAAAAGCTATTATTAATTTTTAGTCCTGATAATCCCATATGAGAAAAAATATTTACAACTACCGACAATGTATAACTGAAAAACAATTTGCTAAATAATTATTGCACTTAAGACAAAAAGGTATGGAAACCAAGCTAAATTTAAGCTACAAAAAACGAAAACAATGTAGCCTAAACCTGTTAAACCATGAATAAGTGGGAGATGAGTCTTGAAGAAGTTAATTTTTAAACTAGAACAAAGAAAACTTGACATGTTTTGCACTAGCTATAAAATATAATCAGTGCCTTTTCAAGAACTTACCATATTTATGAGATCTATCATTTCTGTCAGTCATGATAGAAAGATTGTACAAGGAAGCTTGTTTTGGAATAAGCGTGAGAACAGCTCCATCTGGCACCTTTCAATACAAACAACAAACATCTTTAACATATCTAGTTCAATCCTGCAGTATTTTCTTTAATTATGAATCTTGTTAAAACCATGCCAATAAGCAAGACCATTTGTCTTTATTTCCTATAATATTGAATACAATTTGCAGCATATCTGAGCCAATCTTTTATTCTAAGTTTATAATTAACCACTAACAAAAAGTAGTTACTAGAAATTTTGTTTTATTTATTTGGTGATATGTGATTAACACTTCACCAAGTCTCAACCTAGAAGTTCATTAATTATTCAACAATAATAATTATTGCACTTAAGACAAAAATGTATGGAAATGAAGCAAAATGTAACCTACAATCTTCCTAATACTAAAAAAAGGAAAATGATGTGGCATGCCTAAAGACCAGAAGTTTCATACAATTTTTGACCAGCTTCAAGAGTCCATCAATAGAAATTGATTTATTAAACTAAGTTAACTGTATTAATTTATTAATCTTTGCTATTTCTTACTTATCAATCTGCTATTCCTACCATTTAGATATCCAAAAATTTTCATTAACAGTGTGCCCTTGGTATGGTAACCTCACTCCACAAAATACAAGCAGAAATATCGAAGTGTTTAAAAATACTGTACTAATGTACAGTTATAATATTCAATCCTTTGCTACACCACATCTAATCAACAGCATTCATCTGTTCAAATGGTGCACCTTGCTATGCTGGGCATATGGACCCTACTTCTGTGAACCTTCAAAATATTAAAATAAGAATCCCTTTGGACTCTGAAGCCTAGAGAAAGCTCTGTATATAACAAATGTTAGTTAAATGAGAATAAAGATAAATGTAATCCTGTACCCATTCTTTACACTTTGTTTTAACACAAAAAAAACGAATTACTAACTAAAAGTGCTAAGTAAAAATTAATTATTGTACCTAATTAAAAAAGGTACCGGAATTAAAAAAGGTCCAATAACAACAACAACAACAACAACAAAAAAAACAAAAAAAAACAGTACAACTTATTTCTTGTAGTTGAATATATAATAAATTAAGGCAAGTAATTTAAAACAAAAAATTACTAAACTTTTCAAAAAGACTGTATTAAAACATTTTATGTCTACCTTGTAGTGGCTGAGTGTGTTTAATCGTTTCCATTCATTTTCCAGCCTCGATGTTGAATCCTCATCAGACAGAGTGAGTCTTCCACGCGTGCCAGTTCTCCATTCTACATTATGTCACAAGGAACTAAATTAGCAACTTCTTCACATACAAAAACAACAATATGATTTCAATATCATGTCAACTTCACATTTAAAAGATTCAATCACTTAACATTTTAATATATTAGTCTTTCCCTGTGTAGTTTACAAATGTTTCCTTTGTATTTATAGATATTCTAAAGTCATGCATTTTTACAAAATGATCACAAATACATATTTAATATCTACCTTTCATATAACTATTACAGTTCTTTCAAGCATTTTTCCAGGTAATATTTACAATCACTGTTATACAATGACCCCCACTCTTCCTTTTAGAAGTAGTACACATGCACTATATAACACACTATACTAAATTAGACACAATAAAACAATATATACAATTTTTAAAAATCTTTATCAGTATTTCATGGATGTCACTGAACAGAATTCATTTTTATTATTTTATTTACCCATTTATTTTAAGATAATATACTTAAATTCCCATAAGGAAAGTAATCCTTAAAAATATTGGTATGCATCTACTTGTTTATTTAAAAAAAGTCTATAGATAAACTCGTATAATCTTGATAACAATAATGACAATTAACAGAGAAATGCTTGGTTATCCAATAACAACAAACTATGGGTAATTTACCTAGATCCAGATCATCTTTACTTGGCCTCTGAGAGTAGGGAGTGCTTTTGTAAATTGCATCCAAGGCTTTTTCTTTAACTTGTGAAATTGTATCACAGTCTAAGACCTTCACTGGAGTTTCAATATTCTCACCTGGAGGCTCCAATCCAGCCACATATACCGTCTGAGGTGAGAGGGACACAAACACAGTCTGAAATACAAATACATTTGTTCATACTTTTTTTTTTTAAACCAGCACAGCCATAAAACTTCTTGAAATGCACAAGTTATATTTGTGCTTATCCTGAATAACTATTCACATAGTTATGTTATTCTTAAAACAAGAAAAGTTCTGTTTATATACAGTTAAAATCAGGATCAAATGGATTATAACTATATTAAACATACATGTTTCCCCAGTATTATATAAACTCATAAACCGTATCAGTTTTTAAACTTGGCAGAAGACTAGAGGATTGAAATCCTGTTTACAAAAAAAAAAGACTAATCACACTCCAGTAAAAAATTATTTTACTCAAACCTGATGTTTCAGCTTGTACCTTTCTCAAGGGTAAAGTTCAGTTTGTATTTGTGATGCTGTAGTCTTTGAGAAAGGTACAAGCTGAATTGTTGGGTTTGAATAATTTTTTTTTCTTGAGTGTGATTAGTCTTTTTTTGTAAGCACTCGTACATTGTCTAGAATATAGAAATAATTTTTTTTTTAACAAACAAAACAACTATATTGTTGAGTGCACAAAACAATCTGATGCTGATAGGAACCTATTAAATTAAAACTTTTTAGTTAATAACATCTATGAATAGATAACACAAATTACAGCCGAGAGGGATGTTACACAAAAAGTTCATACAGTGGAAACACAATGTTGCACTTTCTATTTTTCATGAACACAAAGAGTATACACTCTAAATTAAAATGATATAAAAGAGTAGATAAAAGCTTTGGAAAAGGAAAAATTAAAGCACTTTTAACCAATCATAAGATGAAAATGTATGCTGGAAGAGTTAGAATGTGACTAACTAGAGGAAGGATATATAATATAAAAGTTATAAACTACATGATTTCCTAACCCTATTCCTATGAATACATAAAGTAGTTACTCAAACATCCTAGAGATTACAGTAAAAACAATAATAAAATGTTCTACAAAACCTTTGTTTTAAACTAATAAACATCAAGAATAATGTAACTTCTACAAGATGCTATCCTTTCATATGGAAAAGTACTAAGATCAAGAAACTAACTACTCTAAAGAGAAGTTTCCTTTTAAACTGATATGAAAAACAGTAATTCAAACATTCCCCTGAAATCTTTCCTTGCAAACAGTGATCAAAAACACCAATTCAAACATTCTCCTGGAAACTTTCCTTGCAAACAGTGGTCAAAAACAACAATTCAAACATTCTCTGGAATCTTTCCTTGCAAACATTGGTCAAAAACAACAATTCAAACATTCTCCTGGAATCTTTCCTTGCAAACATTGGTCAAAAACAACAATTCAAACATTCTCCTGAAATCTTTCCTTGCACACATAGGTCAAAAACAATAATTCAAATGCTCTACTTCTCCTAGAGGTCATCTTTGTAATCTGATGAATATCAAAATCAGTATTTTAAATATTTTCCTGAGAGTTTTCCTTAGAAACTGATAAATATCACAAAGTATTTTAAATGAGCTATAAATGCATACTGATGACCATCACATAATTTAATTCAAATATTATTTTCTTATGAACTGATAAACATCAAGGATTGCAGCTCAGATGTTCTACAGAGAGTTCTTTTAACAAAACTGAAAACAGTTATACTATATTCACAAAGAATCAAGAAGCATCATAAAAACTTTTCAGGAATTAACACATATTTTATATATATTGTTTTGTACTAACAACTAATCATTATAACTGTATGCTTTGAACAAAAATATTTGGAAATTAAGTCTATTATGTTTACCATAAAAATTGAAGAAAATTCTGCTCATAAATTACATTTGTTTCTCTTAGAGCAAAGCCACAATGGCTGTCCCACCAGAGGACTAAAATTACAACATAAAAATGTCCTCCTGTTTTGTTTAAACATGTACGATACTTACTTTCAACTCACAATGGAAAAAAAAAGAGGCTATTATTCATACTCACCAGACATTTATATTCTATGGACTGACGTATCAACTTTTCTTCAGAAAGAGAATATCGAGCTTCACTGGTGATGGCATCAACAGGACCTTTGTCCACCTGCTGTTTAATGGCTCGATAAAGGAGAAATAAGGACTCTCCTGCACACTCCTACATGATATACACAGGTCTTACAAAACAACATACAATACTTTCACTATTAATGCTCATATATATTCTTGATTATTTAATATGGTCCAATGTTTCACTAGAATTATCACGAGAGAAAAACAATACGTGTCTTAATCTCTCCAAACAGTACCATCATTTAGTGCTCAAAACAATTTTCTCTCTCATTTGTCTTTATACTAGGTTGTTCTCTGTCCATCACTTTTCTTAGCAACTACTAGAACCTGTACTTTTGCCTTACATTTGGACATGGCATTGTTCAAACTGTAGGCCTATGTCTTCCATACAAAACTATTACCAACTAACTAACTTGCAAGCAACCTGTTGTTTTTGATACATGGTACCTGCCAGATTCTTGTACTGCTACAGATGCTCACAACTTAGAAGGAACACTGGCACAAGGGATGCCAAAATAATACTGTTTGTGAAAATTACATTAACTTCATGCACATATGAAATGCCTTTATCTTTACAAGTAAAAAAAATACTTATCATAGGTTTATCAAAATCTTTCTCTTTATCAAAATCTTTCTCAAACTAAAGTCAGAAGATACTTATCACAAAAATCTCAAATTATTCATCTCAACTTTACAGTACTGAAACTGTTGGTCACACAAATTTGATAAACCAAATATATTCTTCAACATAATTTTGTCTTAAGAAATTGTGGTTTAAAGCTTATATTTCTCTAATAAATATTATTATGGCATTTGAATTTTATGGGAAATTATTTGTTGACATTCAACAGTTCTGATAGTAAGTTAAGTATCATCATTTATCTAAACAATCTACAGAGAGACAAAGATCCTCAACTTGACTCTTGATACGGTGGTTTTATAACTGGTATTAATATTAAAGCATTTTTCAAAAAATCATCAAGGGCAAATTTCATAATTACATTTCTAGAGACAATGTGTTGATGTTTGAGTTTTTCATACAGTCTAAATTTTCTTAATACTTCAGAGGTAAAGAAGAAAAACTGTGTGTGTGTGTGTGTGTGTGTGTGTGTGTGTGTGTGTGTGTGTGTGTGTGTGTGTGTGTGTGTGTGTGTGTGTGTGTGTGTGTGTGTGTGTGTCTTTTTATTCATGCCATGCTAATTATTTCTTTGCCACATTTCATAAAATCAAAAATTAAATAGAATGCAAATATCTTTCTTTATAGACTTGACATTTTTTCTTCTGTTTTGTTTCAGATGTGGACATTTATTAAAACAAACAAAAAAAAACTTCATGTTGATACAGATGTGTATACTATTCTGATTGGTTCCTTAAATCAATTTTATCTTAAATGGTCATTTTGTCTTTGTTAAAACTTATCTATTACTAAATTACATTTACAAAAAAATCTAAAAACAGGCTACATTTAACAGAATTATGTATTTACCTATCAAAGAACAAACAGATACAACACTGTAATATTAATGATTTAGAACGAGTTAATGAAGAAATAATTCAAAAAATATCGATATTACTGTTTTAGAATTCACCGAATAAAAGCAAACATCATAAATTAATTTAAAAATTGCATAGGTACAGAAAATAAAAGCCCTGTATCAGGACATCAAAAATGAAACCTTCTTAAAAACATTCAAAATGCATATATACAATTAAAACTTTAATTTTAATAATTGTCCCAAAGAATTATTTTGATGCTAATTACTGGCTTGAAACTTACTCTTAGAAATTTATACAAAAGAAATGTAAACCATGAGGCCAACATCTTCTCTGCCACTGACTCCGCTCTAAAAAAAGAAAAACAAAGTTGTTTAGAAGAATGGACAAGACTATATAATAAGCTCCATAGTTTTAACATTTATATTTAATTTTTTTTACTAATTCATGTTTACATGATCTGTTCTTGTTTTGTATACATTTTTGAAACACAAAAAACAAAAACTTAAACAACAATCACACTAAACTTAATATAATGTGTTCCAACTTCTATTTTAAATAAACTATTAAACTTTCAGAATAACTACATTAAAAAAATGAGTTCAATAATTACAGAAAACCTTAAAAAGAAGCATTTAATTAAATGAACTTGTACAACACATACTGTTGCAAAGTTTCACATTCTAAGATCTAAGACATTTAATTAATCATACAATAAACATGTAGAACTAATATCTAAATCTTAAAAGTTCTATGGCACAGTTTTGTTTTCTTGCATTAAAAATATTAAATTTTAAAACCTCCTCTAAGGCAGAAATCTACTTCTTTCGTATATACTTTCCAATGACACTACTACAAGTCTTCTGGTGGCTAAAAAATAAGTCTGATGGTTTATCTCGCACACACAAAAATCAGGATTTGACACAGTAAGCACAAAGCAGATAGCACATTGTGTAGATTTGCATTTAACAACAAACAAAGGAACTATTACAAACATCCTGAATATGCCATAAACTGAATCCTCAGATAACAAAAATTTATTTTTAGACTCAGTCTAAATGAAGACCTTTTTTAGAAATTAATGTTTAAAACAGATTCCACCACCTTCAGTGAATATAATATAATATAATAACAAACTTAAATAAACATAATATAATATACTATTGAAGAACTGGTATTTAAACAAAAAAAAAAAACAACTTTAGGTATATTTGTACATTTTTAAGGAATATATAAAGATTTAATACTATAAGTGGTTAAAACTGGCTTTTTTCCCCGATCTTCTATACGCACACTTGTTTAATCAATGTATGTAAATTTTTCATGTAATTTCAAACAAATACATCATAAAAAAACTGTATGTAGTAATTTTTAAATTTTATTGACAGTATATACAAACATGTGCATATGTGTGCACGCCTTCTGCAAAAATGTTTGTGCCCATGACGACAATATAATTGCTGCAACTATACTGTTAACAAACAATTCAAACATATTAACCAAAAATAATAAACAATGATGCTACTTTTATACAACTCACCTTCTGAACAATAGCTTTGGATGACCTCTTCCTTCAATACACTTTTCTATCAATTCAGCCAACAATGTCTTTAATATGCTGTAAAAAAGAAAAACATGCATGTGTTACTATGCTATTACCTTAAGAATCAATAACCAAAGAGTATCTGAAATACTATATACATTTATTCCTATAAAGTATATTACAATAATTTTACTGTAGACATTAAAAAAAAATTCAACTAGTTTCTTGGAATTAATGGACATGTGTTTCCAACAAAACTCTATTAAAACTTCATTATTCTATTAGACATTTCCACATCAAAAGATGTAAAATCTCAAAACTTACTCTGAGCAGTACTCCATCTTTCCCTGGAGGGTTACCATAATGAGGGAAGCCACATTCACCCTTTGTAACAGAAAAATTAACGTCAACATGCTAGTTCAATCGTAAGAACAACACAAGAAAAGTTAACCATAACAATTAAAAAACTACAAAGGAAAATAACAACCATAACCCTTAAATCTATTAAGAAAATAACTAAAAGGATTACACTGTTGCACAAATACTTATTAGTTAATGATCTGCTTGATTACAGCAGTCAATTAGTTAGCACCCATTAAAGAAAATGTCTAGAGAAACCCAGTTTATTTTGTTTGTATTAGTTCACAAGAGCTGTATGAGAAACAAGAAATTCGGCACTTTAGCAGGTTATTCACAACACATGTTTCTACAGATTATTCAAAATGAATACATATCCTACAAACAGCCATTCGTGTATACATCAGTAAGTTCCGAACAAAGCCTATCAAAAGTAAATCAACATCCCGGAGAATGAAAACTGACCATCTACATAATATCATATACAAGAAACTCCAATGTAAAAATACAGATACAACTTGGTTAATACTACAGAATACAAACTACCTCCAAAGAAAGAATTTCCGGAATAAACTGTATTTTCACTAAGTCACATAGTTTGACAAAGTAATGGTGGTAAAAATTCATGAGATACTGCCAGTTCACTTGCAATACTGCTGTGCATTGAATAGAATGGCAATACAGTTCTAGTTACATCAGAAAACAATCACTTTTTCACATCCTTGGTACACAAAACCAACAGAACACTCTTTGTGCCGTAAGAAATATGGACAATGACCTAGGTCAAATAAAGACAGTACTACTGCAGTACAGTTGCCTCAATACATTCAGATGTTACCTTCATAGTATGGGCTACAATGCCACTTCTCCCTTCAGGATATACTGCATATCAACAACAGTAGTAGTAATTTTTTTAAGATGTATTCCAGACTTAAACAATTTGGTGAAAGTGATTGCACTTTGGTTTGATGACTATCCTCCCAGGAACTTCTACTGAAGCACTCACAAGCCACTACAAATGTTGTTGGTATTTCTATTATGATGTGAAGAGCCATATGGGCAGATTGACAATCACAGCTGGTGGTATGTGAAGGGATGATCATTGCTGCTAAATACATTACAATTGTAGCTGTCTATGTCAATAACTAGCTTACCGAAAAAAGAAGTGTTTTAATGCAATATCGAGTTCTTCCTCATTCATCCAGAAAACAAATGGCTTGAAAGTTAGCCATTACCACTCTCCCATGGTTAGGTCAATTACCAGATACGAACCTTATCAAGTATGTGTGTGTGGTCCATCCTTGTTTGTTCGCTATAAAAACATTCCAAACAACAACAATTTCTATTGACACCATCATCCAAGTTATTCACCAGAAGTAAGGTGCAATCCACAGGCCCAGACTTCCTATCTTGTACATAAAATGCATGAACACATTCCTGCCTTAAATATTGCAAAGGGCAAATCCACATGTTTGAATAGAGCTGTTTAAATTTGTTTAACAACAAGTAAAACCTTGGAATGGTCTATTCTTTCACTGGGGGGGGGGTGGTCTGTGAGCCGGACTAGTTTTGGAGAATTCCACTCCTCAATGACCAAATAGCAGACCAAACCAAGCCTTTATAGTAGTGAGGTATTTAAAATCAAAATGGAGTATTTAAGTGTTATACACTTTTATTTCATTGGTGGTAGTGTCCAGGGTCACTGATGAGGAGTGGAATTCTCAGAAACTAGTCTGGCTCACAGACACCCCCCCCCCCCCCCCCCC